CCTTTTCTATGTTTAGACATGTTTAGATACACAAATACTTACCACACTGTTACAATTGCCTACAGTATTCAGTACAGTAACATACTGTACAGGTTGATAGCCTGGGAGCAACAGGCTACACCATACAGCCTAGGTGTGTAATAGGCTGTATCGTGTAGGTTTGTGTAAGTACACTCTGTGATGTTTGCACAATGACTAAATCGCCTCAGGACACATTTCTCAGAAGGTATCCCTGACTTTGAATAATGCATGACTGTATTTGGATTTTGAGTCCCTTGAAGGCAAGGACTGCTTTTTGTCAGCCTTGATCCCTTAGTGTCAGTGTAGTAGTACATGACAGAAAGTAGGCACTGATCAGTCTTCTGACCGGAAAATCCAAGACCCAATTCTGCTTCTTGTTGGTTTGTTGTTGGTACAAAGAATTAGTATTTCATTCTTTTAAGAACTCCAAACTGCATTTTCTAAATCTTACTTTCTTATTCAATCTTTTACAGATTTTTTTTTTCTATTATTTCTACTGCTGCTACTGAAAAACTTGGTCTATGATGAAAATAACTGTGATTTGGGAGTATTGAAGAGGGGGGAGAATAATACAATATCAGATCAGAGAGAGGGCAGGCCGAGATCTCACAAGATCTTTTATTTGGAGTCTAGATTGGATTTGCCTATAATGGGAGTCTGTTAGGTTACAGCAGGGAAATGGCATGATGTGATCTGTACATTAAAATGGGAGTTATTCTGGCTTTTATGTAGAAGCATAACCACTAGCCATTAGGCTGGTGCTGGAGTTCAGGGAAGAGATACTGTTGGTTTGGACTGAAGTCGGAGCAAATACCAAGGTGAGAACTGGTCACATTTGGAATGTGTTTTTAGAGGTAAGAGGACAGAGCTTGTGGATGGGTTAGAGGTGGGGAGTGAGTGGAAGAGAATCAGGAATGACTTGTTTTTGCTCTGGGCATGTATGACTCTTCTATTATAGAAGGGAGGATTTCATAACTAATCATATTTCTTAGCCTGTGGATGTGTGTGTGTGTGTATGTGTGTGTGTTTGTGTGTGTGCATGTGGCCTTTCCCCAGAATTTACCAATTCCTCAAGAGACTCACTGTTGACCCATCCTTTATCTCACCTACATGTGGTCACACTCTATGCAGAGATTGCCCATCAGTCACCCTGTGACCTGGCGTGCCTGTAGATAAGATTCGTTTTGTCTGGCACAGTGTTTTAGGAAATTGCAAATATCAGGCAGTTACACACGTAAATTCAGATTTCCAACTTCTTTTGAAAAACTAGAAGTTCCGCCAACAGTGAGCCTGAATTCCCACGTGACTACTCTTGGCGGGAACTGAGCTCCAGCTGCCACCGTCATCCTTTAGAGCCAGCCGATTCTCTGGGTGTGACCAGGGCCCATGAGGCTTGCTTCACTCAGTTCCATTATCACATGTAAGGAGTTCACAGCCCCTGCTCTCCCAGAGACTCCCCCACAACCAGGTTCTCCCCATGCACTGTGATGACGGTTCGCTTTCTTGCTCCAGTGTTTTAAAATCCAGCAGCAGTAGTGTCCCAGCTGCAAATATTAATGCTGGCTGGCCCCTCTTGTCAAAACGGCGGTGTTAGAAGGGGATGAGAGCCAGGGACAGCCAAAGCTGTTCACGCCAAGACTGTAGCATCTGTCATCTGGACTCATATCATGTTGCCTTTTTAATTTTCTAAAAGTTAAATGTGACCCAAGGCTTATCTGTCCTCTAAGTTCAAGATGGTTCATTTGTACTATTTTGTTTTTATTGGAAAACTATGGAAACCCTCTCTTGTGAATGAGGTGGGTGACCCGAACTTGGCATTTCTGCAGGGCCAAATACAAAGGAGGTATTCATCAAATATTTATCCAGTTGGATTATTAAATTGCATTCTCTCTTTCTGTTAGAGAAGTCTGTGCAAATAAGTCTTTACAAAGATTTCAAAATCTAAATAAGAGGTTAATTGTCAGGATGAACCAGTTTTTATTTTTATTAAAAGATGACTTCTGACATTTCCAAACTGTTTCCCAGAATAGGTCCCATGTTTAGAGCCTGGGATACCAAAGCACCAGACATGCTTTAAAGTGATGGGAAAAAACAGTCTTCATTCTGAATTCATTGAAAAGTGGTACACATCTTGCTGCCCTCTTTGGGAAGTCAATAAATATGCCCCACCACACCCCCAGAGATTAAGTATTTTCTTCCGTATATGTCACAGTCCTGAACCCTCATAATTTTAGTGGTAGTGTAGCACAGATGTTGAGAACATGGATTTGGAACCAGATTTTGTGGTATCAGATCCTGGTCCTGCCTCTTACTTGTTATGTCACTCCTATGATTCAGTTTTCTCACCTGTAAAATGGGGATGATGATGGTATTGACCTTAAAATATTATTATAAAGAAATAAATGATACATATAAATAATACATCTAAATATCTATAAATCTCTTAGAACAGATCCGATATGTTGTACGGGCTTGCTATTGTATCTAGGAACATTTTACATTTCTACTGCCTGTTTTTGTGTGGCCCATGAGCTAAGAATGTTTTTTACATGTTAAGTGGTTGCAAAAAATCAAAAGAAGACTAATATTTTGTGACATGTGGAAATTATATGAAATTCAGATTTCAGTGTCTACAAGTAAAGTTTTATTAGAACACAGTTGTTCCAACTGCTCATTTGTTTATGTATTGTCTGTGGCTGCTTCCATGTTAGAACAACAAGGTTGCTAACTGTTTTGAATGGGATATGTCCCTATAGGTTATCATATGCTATAATAGTGAATCTGAAACTTGTGAAATCTTTGTGAAGTGACACTTGTGAATTGTCATCATGTTCAGAGCCAACTTTTACCTTCCTGCCTGAGATGAAGAAGTGCTTACTTGTTTTCTTAGTCTTTTCACGTACTGTTGTTATGTTATGGCACTTTTATGACACTGTAAAACACTGAAGTTATGCTTGTGATATAAATGAAAATATCGACTATTTATTAAATATTTGCCATCTTAGTTTTTAACAGATAAACAAATAAATGTAGAAAGTCCAAGTAATTTCCCCCAAATTCTATGGCTAGTGAGAGGCTTCTTGTCTACAGGCAATGTCATTGATAGACATCTATAATTATTTATAATATGAACAAATATTTATATTTATGTTATATTATAAAGTTTTATGTTATTTTATTTTCTGGAAAATGGATAGTGGATTCGAGAAGGGTTAAATGCTGCCTAGATATCATGTTAGCTGCCCTTGCCATCACTAAGATTCTTTCTGTGCCTAGATAACCCCATTTGTTTCTCCCACACACTTTATCTGTATTCATATCTCTGCCATGTCTAAGACGTGAAAGGGAATCTAGTTATTTAGTGGCTAATTTGCTGAACTGTGCTTTGTGCTTGGTTGGGGGAGGAGAGGGGTTAGAGGTAGGTAGACGACAAGGGCCACTTCTGCCCTGTGCTTTTTCTGACAGCGGATAGCAAGTCTTCAGTGTGCAGCAAGTTTCCCCTTGCTTTGCTTCCTGAGGTTCTGCCTCTGGAACGTGGGTCCCTCATCATGCAAATCAGTCTGTGATTGTGGTGGAGGGAGGTCATCTCTGTGTTCCTGACTGTCACTGCCCAGGAAAAAGGCAGCTGGGAAGAGAAAAGTGGCTTTGTTTCAGATACAAATAAGTGACAGTTTATTCTTTGCTGATTCTGGATGAAAACTTTACCATACTTTCCCTGACTTAGAGTATGTGAACCATGCAGAAGGCCCATGCTAAAATCATCAACTGAGTGTATGTAATACTTATTTAAAACAGGTCCTTACCTGTTTAAATCAGGAGGGGAGAAAAGAGAGGGCAATACGAAGTGTTAGGAAACTTTCCAAATGGCTCCCTTCCCTGCCTCCAGATCAAGCTTAGAGTAAAATTTTGCTTCATATGACTTATATGTATATCTGTATTTTTAAGTGAGAAAGTATTGGTCACTTTTAAAGCAGCAACATAAAATAATTGTTGGTTATATCTTTATTATTGGCAGGGATTTAGGACTATTAATCTCTGTGGAGATTTCATATTAGAAGGGAATAATTGGATACAAGATAATAATACATCTATTACAGTGTGCTTTACAGTTTTCAGGACATTTTCACATATTACATTATTTAGACATAATGATTTAGAAGGAGGTTAGATAGGTGAGCCAGGTTCATCAGGTAGTTAATGGTCAAATTGGGCTTAAAACCGAGGCTCCCTGATTGTCTGTGCAGTGATCGCCCTATTGCACACAACCCAGCCTGTCACATACAGACAGGGACCTGCCAAACGTAGAGCGAATGGTGTGGGCTTTTCTGGCATCAGACACTAGGGTATGATTGTCAGTGGGAGTTGCTGCTATTTATTGGTCAAGGATAAGAGTTTAGGAATTCTGTTAAGTTTTATTAGTCAAAATCCTAGACTGATTCTAGACTTAAACACAGAACCCTAAGTGCCTTCATTGTTAAGGAATTAATGATCAGAAATAACAGACTAGCACCCGAGTGCTGAAGTGGATGACAGAGTCACCTGCTCCCATGGTGGAGATGCTGAAAGACATGGTGATCCCGTGAACGTGGAGTGTGGCGATGGAGTGGGAATCTGCGCATTGGTAGATTGGCGTCTCTGCCCAGGTGCTGCCTGCTCATTTACATTTTTAATACATCTTTTTATCATTCCTTTCTCAGGAATATGTACTATACTCAGGGCTATTAATGTTAATGATAGCTTTATTTGCTCCATTTCTAAGAAATAATGCAATTTGTATCTTTCAGCTTAAAATCTTCTTTATGGGATTTTAAAATTCTCTGTATTTGTACTTGTTCTTTCTATGCAATGCAAACTTGGATAGTCTGCAGATCACCTAGAACTTTTTAACTGAAAGAAAAATGAAACCACTCATTTATTTACCAGGTATATATGGAATTTCTGCTGCTGAGGCAACCCATATTGTATTTTTTCTTTTATAGAGTGGGAAACCACCCATCAATGATATGTTCACAGACCTCAAAGATGGAAGGAAGCTATTGGATCTTCTAGAAGGCCTCACGGGAACATCACTGGTGAGCGTGTCACCTTAGAGAATGAGGCTAAGGGACTGTCTCTGGTCTTTACTGACACCGGACCCACTGTGGGGACTTTAAATGTGAAGGCTGAAATAGGCACATTAAAAAAAAATGTTTTAACTAATGCTATTGATAGAACAATATTTTGCCTTTCATGAGGGCTCATTTTTATCGAAGATAAAATTACCTTAAACGTTCATTGCTCTGAAATAGCCCAGGTTGAGAATTCTGAAAGAAGAATGGATTTGTAAAGAGGGTGTATGTTTTGACTAGTAGAGAGTATAGAGACAAACATATTTAAAGGTTAACAAATGTTTAAAAAAAAATAGTTGTTAAAAAATACGGCATCTGTTTTTATCCAGGTTTTCAGTATTATGTTTGTGTTTGTTTCTTTATCAAATTCAACTCTATTACTTTCTGTGTAAGGTACTTGATACTCGTGGAAAAAACTCTGCTCATGTATTTTATAGGTAGACAGTGTAACACGAGAGGTAGAAACACTTTTGACAGTAAAAGAGATGTACTCCCAATGATGAATTTGTTTCTTGCTAAAGGTGGGGTGTTGTACTCTCCAGGTGGTGGGCAGACACCTGTTGGGGAGGCTGATCTCTTCCCTCAGATAAGATTCCCTGGCCAGTGAAGTAGAAAAAAGCCTCCCAGGTTACCTTTCCCCAAGCAAGGCATGCCCGCCTTCCCAGTGCGCTCTGTTAATGCTACCTGGAACCTGGGATTAGTGTCTCGGAATCCTCCTCGTCCACCCCCGTGCAACACAGAGGGGTCACAGCTCCTCTCTCCACACCCACGCAGTATAGAGAGAGTACAACTTCTAAATCTTTCTGCATGCAGACCAATTTAAATAAGATTCATTCCTAGAGTATTGGTTTCCAAACTTGTCTGTGCATTAGAATCATGGGGCAATCATTTAAAATTCCAAACCCAGACCACACCCTAGACCCATTAGGTCACAAACTCTGAGGGCAGAGTTGGACTCAGGCATTTGGTATTTTTTGAAGCTGCCTAGGAGATTCCAATAAGCAGGTAAATTAGAGAAGCAGTATCTTACTGTGCTGTTAGTTGGTGAATTTGCATACTGTAAACACTGGCCTCCAGGGTGGTAGCCTGAGACACCCTCCAGAGCTGAGGGTCTTGCACACTGAGCTGCTTTTCTGTATATATCTCCATGTCAGTGTTTGTCAGCCATATGGAGGAATAATCAGTCTTACTTGCTTTTTTGTTTTATTTTCCAGCCAAAGGAACGTGGTTCCACAAGAGTACATGCCTTAAATAACGTCAACAGAGTGCTGCAGGTTTTACATCAGAATAATGTAAGCCTGTAATGTGAGTTTTGGGATTCTGTGTGGCCATCAGCATTATTTATCATGATCCAGCCACCTGCTTGATGCATTGGCATCAACTGATTCTTGAAACATTTTTTCTTATGAGACATATTGAATCTTTTCTAGGAGTGAAGGAACAGTCATGCACTTTTTCTGATGGCTTTATTGATCTATTACGTAAATAATACATTTTTGAGATTTAGATTTACCTGATTCTCTAAAGTGAAAGTTATCATTCACTTATATTGCTGTCCAAATGTGCTAAAACAAAAACCTGGAGTTCTACGAAGAAATTGTCTTAAAAGTTCTTTTTTTTTTCATTTTAATAGGTGGAACTAGTAAACATAGGAGGTACTGACATTGTAGATGGAAACCACAAACTGACTTTGGGATTACTTTGGAGCATCATTTTGCACTGGCAGGTGGGGAAATTTCCAACCACTTTTCAATAGAAATTGAAAATGTATTGTTTGTGTATTAGTTTCCTAGGGCTGCCATAGCAAGGTATTAATACCACAAGCTGCTTGGATGGAACAGATTTATTGTGTCACAGTTCTAGAGGCTAGATGTTCAAGATCAAGGTGTCAGTAGGCTTGATTCCTTCTGAGGGTTCTCAGGGAGAATGTGTTTCAAACCTCTCTCCTAGCTTCTGGGGGTTTGTCGGCAATCTTCGGGGTTCCTTGCCTTGTGGCAGCATACCTCCAGTGTTGATGTGACATTCTCCCTCTATGCTTATCTGTGTCCAAGTTTCCTCTTTTTGTAAAGACATCGGTCATATTGGATTTATGGCCCACGCTATCCTCGTATAAGCTTATCTTAAATAGTTACATCTGCAAAGACCTTATTTCCAAATAAAGCCCTATTCTGGGAGTTAGTACTTCAACATATGAATTTGGGGGGACATAATTCAACTCATAACAATTTGGAATAGAAGAGGCTGACAAATTGCTCTATTTATCTGGCATGAAAAAAAATAACTACTTTTCTTATGTTAAATTTTAAAAATTGACATAATTTCAGACTTGTAGAAAAGTTGCAAGAATAGTCTAAAGAATTCCCAAGTGCCCTTCACTCAGATTCCCTAAATGTTATCAGTTGCCTGTGTTGTTTTTTGCTCGCTCTCTCTCCCTCTCCCTCTCTCTCTCTCTCTCTCCACCTAAATAGTTCGGTGTGTATTTTCTAAAAACGTGGCATTCTCCTAAAAACAAAGAACTCTCTTACATAAGCACAATACAATATTAATAATATAAAATATATAATTAATATTTGTAACACTAATGTTAATTATATGTGATAATATATGGTAATTATATGATAATGTAATTATATTATGTACTAAAACATAATATATAATTATTAAAATCAGGAAAATAACATTGAAATAATATGATCTACATATTATATGATCTACAGATCTTAAGGAGAATTTGTCAGTTGCCCCAATAATATGCTTTATAGCTTAAGAAAATGCAAGATAATAAGTTACATTTATTGTCATGTCTATTTAATCTTGTTTAATCTGGAACAGTTTCTGAGTTTTTATATTTCATGATGTTGATATTTTTGAAGAGTCCTGGCCAATTATTTTGTAGAATGTCCCTCCCTGTGGGCTTGTCTGAGGTTTTCTCATGATTAGATTCAGGTTATTCATTTTTGGCAGGGATGCCACAAAAACGATGTGAGTTCTCAGTGTGCTGTATTGGGGATGTGTGCTGTCCACTCGTTCTTCTTCTGGCAACATTAACTTCGATTACTTGGTTAAGGTGGTACCTGCCAGGTTTCTCCACTATAAAGTAACTACCTTTTGTTCTTAAAAAGTATTTTGTGGGGATATACTTTGATACCGTGTAAACATTCAGTTATTATCAAAATTTTATCCATGAGTTTTAGCATACATTCATTATTCTTACCTGGATCAGTTATTATGATGATGCCTGGCAAACAGTGATTTTCTAATTTCATTCCTTATACGTTTATTACAAGGCTTTCTACTTATAAGGAAGAGTTTCCCCTTGTCTCTTGTTTCTCTGTCTGTCTTATCTACCTATCTATCCATTCATTCATTCATTTATGTATCAGTGTAGACTAATGGATTTTACATAGGTTTATAGTGTTTTCCTGGTTCCTTACTCACTTTGATGCTCAAGTTTTTCTAGATTTGGCCAGTGTGAGCTTCTTAAGTTGGCTTCTGTGTCCTTTTAATATGTCCACATCATTATTTGAGCACTTTCTTAAAGCATATATACTACTTTAGAATAATAATATAAATATTAGTTCTAGAGTATAATTGTTATCGCTATCAGAAAAGGTACTTCATTCTTTGATTTTGTAGTCAGTCAGAAGTTCTTTCTTCCTTATTTTTGTAGAAAATAAAAATTGGGTTTTCTTCATTTTAAAATGTTTTTGTAGATGAATAATGTTAAAATATGACCTTGTGACTATGAAAGTAATGTTCATTGTAACCGAACATAGTTACAAGTACTGTTTAGGACCTAAAAGATACAGTAATATAGGACCTAGAAGATACAGTAATTCAGTAATAATTTTACAGTGAGGTAAAAATCACCTCTAAATCCTAATATCCCAAATGATCACAGTTAAAATCTGTGTTTCTGGTGTTTAAGGGAAAAATTTGAAATCGAATGAATGCCAGTTACTTGATCCATTATGGTTAATTAGCATAACATTCCTTTTTCAAGGACTTGATGGAAATAACCGTGTTAGTTACAGGCAGGCCGGCTTTCTCTCGAACAGGTAAAAGATGTCATGAAGGATGTCATGTCAGACCTGCAGCAGACAAACAGCGAGAAGATCCTGCTGAGCTGGGTGCGTCAGACCACCAGGCCGTACAGCCAAGTCAATGTGCTCAACTTCACCACCAGCTGGACGGACGGGCTGGCCTTTAATGCCGTGCTCCACCGACATAAGTGAGACCTTGCTCTGCTTGGATGTGGGCTCTACAAATCTGTCTCCTCTCTGTCCCTCCCCTGCGACGACCACTCCCTGAAGCCCCTTCTTCACTGTCACTGCTCTCCTCTCTGCACTTGCTCTACCAAAGCCTTAAGAACAGAAACATCATGGAAGAACACTAGCCATCAGGTCTTTATTTCCACAGGATTTAAATGCCATGGTGCAATGTCCGTGGTTTGTAAGTTAAAAAATTTATAAGTTTATAAGTTAAAAAATGTGAAATAATTCACATAGTTCAACCCCACTCATTTAGCACTAACTATAATTAATAGTAATGTATACAAAGAATTGTATAAGCTTTTATTCTCATACCAAAAGTAAAACTCTATGAATTCAATTAAAAATAGCCAAACAAGCTTTTCATGAAACTTGAAAACAGATGCTAATTACATAAAACACCAAAGGTCCAAGAATAGCCAGTATACTTCTAAAGAAGAACCAGACTGAAATACTTTCCAAAAAGAAACCAAAACTAACTATGGAGCTATATTAATTAAGACTATGCAGTACTATAAATGAATATGCTAATATAATAATAAGCTCAATCATATGAAATTGCCAATGCCTGACTGTTTTCCATGTTTATCAATGGCAGTTGCAGATAGTTCAGCCTAACAGAATAAAGAGCTCAGAAATTGCTCCATTACATGGGAAAACCTGATATACAAGTGAGCTGATATTGCAGGTTAATAGATGCTATGGGACAATTTGTTACCCATATGTAAATAAGTGCACTGGAGCCTCACCTCACCATACTCAAAAAATAAATTCTACATGGATCAAGAATTTAAATGTGAAAGGCAAAATTTGTTATGTTTTATTGTTATTGTAAATGATTAATTGTCTCAAATTTCATTTCCTGTATGTTCTTTGCTGGTATCTAAAAATACAATAGACTTTTCTACATTATATATCTGGAAACTTACTCAATTCTTACAAATTTTAATAAGTTTGTTTCTGTGGATTGTAGTTTTTTTTTAGCCCCCCTCCCACTTTTTTAGAATGTCCTGGTATTATGATTGTTTGATTTCTTCTCTTTTCTTTTTTGTTCTTCATTGTGCCTGGTCCTTCAATGCAATGTTGATTTGAATTGGTGATAGTGAGCTGAATGTTTCGTTCTTGATAACAAAGGAAGCGCTTTTAATGTTTTACTATAGAATGTTTGTTGTGGCTTTTTTGATATGCTTTTATGAGGTTAAAGAATCCCTCCCAATTTTCTCGTACACCTCCTTTATCAGTTTAAGGAGGTTGCTCTCTGTTCCTACTTGGTTAAGAGATTTTTGTCAAGAAACTGGTGAATTTTAGCCAATACTTTTTTCCATTTATTAATTGATACAAGAAATATATGTAGAGTACCTTCTATGTGCTAGACACAGGGTATACAGCAGAGAACAAAACGGGAAAAAAATCTCAATTTTTTTGGAGTTTATGTTCCAACAGAGGGAGACAGACAATAATAAAAATAAATGAAAATGTAAGTTATGTAGTATATAGAAATGGTAAACATGCTGAAGAAAAATGCATCAGGCAAGAGGGGAGGAGGCATCTGCCATCTGGGACACCAGTGACTGCAGTGACCTGAGTGGAGAAGTGATAGGAGATGAAGTCAGGGAGGGAACTAGGAGAAAGGGGGCTGCAGGAAGCAAATCCGAGAAGGTGGATGGGTCTAAGATTCAAGAAGAGACAGAGGGCAAAGAAAATGGTTAGCTTTTGGGTATGTCAAAGCAATAATAATGTCCAATTTGTGAGATTAAAAGAAAATCAAGATAGAAATGAAATACAGTACCAGACAATGGTAACATGGAGGGGAACGATTGGTGGGAAACTCTCAGGGCCTTTGTTTTAGGAATATTCTGTGAACAGATTAGAGCTGCATTTTCTATTCTGCTAACCTTGATTTTTTAATTGGAGGATGTGGTCTGTTAACATTGATTGTAATAACTGATATATTTAGGTTCAGTTTTACCACTTAGTTTGAGCTTCTCATTTCTCTTATCTTTTCTATATCTTTTCTTTCTTGTCTTCTTTTGTATTGGTAAGGTTCTCCCCCTCCTTTTTTTCTTCTACTCTCTGGGAAATATTATATAGCCCTTCTAGTCTTAGTAGGTGCCCCAGAAATTAACCATAAAGCAGGCATGTTTAACCAATACAAAATCCTTAGAATGTGTTATCTTTTATTTGCATATTTATAAATTACTTTCAAATATAGTATATTTGACGAGCTTTCGGGATATAAAAATAAACTTTAAAAAAACTCACAAATCAAAAAATTTAAAACTACAATGTATTAGATTGTAACAATGCCTACTTTGTTTCCATGTATTTCATCTTCATTGTATTTTGTTTACATGGTGATTTCAGACCTGATCTCTTCAGCTGGGATAAAGTTGTCAAAATGTCCCCAATAGAGAGACTTGAACATGCCTTCAGCAAGGCTCAGACTTATTTGGGAATTGAAAAGCTATTAGATCCTGAAGGTATTGTTCAATGTTTAATTTCAACCTTGATTTTACTGTACAATTTTGAACGCTTGTAAAGCAGTATTTTTTTTTTCTTTTAAGAATGAATTATGAAAATTTAGGAACCCTTTTCCTTTTTAAGTGTAAGCCATTTTATTGCAGATTACTTATCAGTATTTTTGTACTTAGCAATTTGTAGGATCCTTTAGGTAAACATTTAATTACAGTACTGGATAATAGTTAATCTAAATAAGTAAGATTTAACATTTTAAGAAAATGTAGTTATTAGATAAACAATTGAGTATTTTGTTTAGTTGATTAAAATGCATTCTTGTGTAAACACTTTAGTTGCAAATGTTGCAGGGTTGAATTCTAGACTTGTTTTCTTAGTATGAATAACATCTGTGTCTTTATCTTAAATGGTAACATATGGTAGCTTATCTTTGAGCATTTTGGGGAATCTTTTAGGGAAGATTTTTAAAAGATGAGACACTGAACAAAAATAAGTCTTTGTCTTTGTCTCATATGTGAAAGAGCAATTTTTTGAGCTATGGTATTGCAAAGATTATATATTAGGTATTGTTTATGGGTACTAAGAGTTATTTTATATCTAATATTGAGTAGTTCACCTATTTTGGACATCTAATTTAAGCTGGTTCTTATATTCTTCCACTTTTAGATGTTGCTGTTCAGCTTCCTGACAAGAAATCCATAATTATGTATTTAACATCTTTGTTTGAGGTGCTACCTCAGCAAGTCACTATAGATGCCATCCGTGAGGTAGAGACACTCCCAAGGAAATACAAGAAAGAATGTGAAGAAGAAGAAATTAATGTACAGGTACAAATTTTTATTAAAACGTTTGACTTGCCATATTCGTGTTCTCATAGGTAATAGTTACAAACACTTTCAGAGGGTTTTTTCCTTGACTGAGAACATCTTGGTTTCTCCCGTTACATTTGCGTAAGTTCACTGTATCAGTTAGCATGCTGTCACCTGCATGTAATAGAAGAGCGTAACTCAACCGACTTTATTATAAAGGAAAATATATTATTTCACAAAACAAAGCTGGAGTTAGGGTCTAGGGCTGTTGAATCATGGAGCTCCATCACATGCTAGTAATCCATGTTTTTCCATCTACTAATCGCCACCTTTTATCCCTGTTATCATATGCTAAAGATGGTTTTTCTTATATTAGCCTACTTCTTTTCTAAGTACTAATTTTCTTTCTTTCTTTTTTTTTTTTTTGGCCATAAAAAAAGGAATTTTTTCCATTATACTCTCACAAGGACTATCAAAATATAAGGTTTATTTTCCCTTTCATTTAGGAGGAGTAATCTATAGGAAGCTACTTGGAAAGTTTTTCATGAAAGGGCTTACAATGGTTTTATTCACAAATGAGGTTTTATTTTATAGGAGATATAAATAAAATCATAATTTATTTTCTTTCTTAATTATCCTGTATTGAATCAATCCATATTTTATCTCATCCTGTGTTAGTCTAACCAGTCCTCTTTATTTATAAAATGAGAGAATTTTAAGAGTTGGATGAGACCTTAGAGGTCATTTGGCTCAACATTTTAGTAACCAAGCAAGCAAGAGATAGACATGGATTTCAAAATTAGAAGAATATGTATTTCAGAGTGCCAGAAAGCCTGCGCTCTGGAGCAAAAATTTTATCTTGTTGCTACTTGTTTGAGATCGGTTACTGAATCTCTCAACCACAGTTTTGTCTCTGAAATGAGCTTAAAACTACCCACTTCATAAAGATAATGAATTCAAAGGATCTAAAATGATATTAATAAATACTCATTAAGCAGCAACTATCATTATTATAATTTTTCCTCTCAATTTGTTTTGGCACTCTCATTCAACAAGTTTCTTTTTAAATGTATTATTTGATTCCCATATAATGATAATAGTCTTGAGTTGACATAGCATCATCTTTTTTTCCTCTGCTGGGATTCGGAGGATTTACTTATTATTTTAAATTTTCTTGGGGTAGTATGTACCAATCCTTTTATTTTTTTCTATTTCAGAAATAGCATGATTTATAGAGAAAGAAAAAAAAACACTTATCGAGGAAAAGAGGGTGAGAGATGGAGCCTGATTATGAACCTAGGGCTGTTTTAAGTAGTTTTGAAAATCATGTGATGCTGAGGAAAAGCCCTGACTTCTTATAATCGACTGAAAAAATGCTGGGAAGCATTTGCCTCCAGTAGTATAGTTATTATTCTACATCAGTGATGTACCTTTTTAGGTGGCTCAGATAATCTGGGTTTGTCTCTTGGTTTTAGAATCATTTCTTTATTGGATTGAGATTCTTGTTTTTAGAAAGATAGGATATTTCAGCTGGGCACGGTGGCTCACATCTATAATCCTAGCACTCTGGGAGGCCGAGGCGGGAGGATCTCTTGAGTTCAGGAGTTCAAGACCAGCCTGAGCAAGAGCGAGACCCCGTCTCTACTAAAAATAGAAAAAATTAGCTGTACACGGTGGCATATGCTGGTAGTCCCAGCTACTCGGGAATCTGAGGCAGGAAGATCACTTGAGCACGGGAGTTTGAGGTTTCTCTGAGCTAGACTGATGCCACGGCACTCTAGCCCGGGCAACAGAGCGAGACTCTGTCTCAAAAAAAAAGAAAGATAAGGATATTTTAATTCTTATAGTTAAGGCCATTCTCTCTTAAAAAGGAAGGAGGCTTCATTTGCCTATCATAATGTACAGACAGCATTATCACTTCTGTTTCGGGTTCAGGATGGCATGATAAGAATTGCAGAAACCATTTGCTGTCTGATTAAGTGCAAGTGTATTAACACTAACCTCTTTATTTGTATGCTTTCATTAGCGCCTTAGAGGCTGAATTACGTTAATTGAGAAATAAAATGTGATCAAATTTTAATCATCTACCCTCTGCCATAGCTTGCCACCCACTAATCTCCAGTGCACTCTAACAGCCAGACTTTCTCTCCTATTCTGTTATTTCTCCAAACATATGCTAGTGGTCAGCAAACATTATATAATAATTCCCGTATTTCTATTAAATATCTGTCAGTTGAAAGTCTCCTCATGTGTTTTAATTAATACCTTCTGCACATTTGCATTTAGACAAGCCTTCCATCTCCCACCTCCTAGATGCTAGTGCCTATCTAAGTGGCTTTTGGCTGGTCGCTAACTTTTCTGGTCCTTGGAAATCCTCATTGTAGTATTGACGTTTGGTACTAAATGATCTCCACGGTTATTTTAGCTCTACAATTTTAGGAATTTAAGTCTAAAAGTGAGCTTGTTTCCTCTCTGTCTTTGTCACCATCTGTCTCTTCATTAGTCAGTGTTTCAACTCTGTGCTCACTTTTGAACTCCTGTATTCAGTTTACTGGATTCATTTGATTCTTCCTCCTAAATGTCTTTTGTGTGGGTTTTCTTTCTGTTCTAGCCCTCATATTAATTAAAGACCTCATCTTTTGTAGTTTACAAGACCCAGCCTACCTCCTCACTGTAGTCAGAGTGGACTTTTTCCCTTTTTTCCCCAAGATTCTTGTGCATACAGATTCCCCTCTCTGAAATGTTCCTCCCTTCACTATTGCGTGGCAGGCTGCCCATTTTTTCTCAGTTTAAATGGAACCTTTTCAGAGAAATCTTCTCTGATGAACCTATCAAAATACAACACCACACACATACTCTCTCTCTGTTTCTTGCTATCATATTATTTTTATAAAATTAGTTAAGAATTTTAAATTATATCTCAAGAGCACTGGGAAAGTCACTGAAAGGTTTTAAGCAGGAGAGTGTTACGATGTGATCACATTTTCAAAAGATCATCCTGGCTGTTCTGTGAGAAATGGATTGGAGGTGGGAGTACAGGGGTTGGGTGTGGGGGGAGCAAATGGGAAAGTAGAGACCCCTGTTATCAGGCTGTCATAGTCCAGAGGAGAGACATAGATGGCAGTGGGATGGAAAGGTCTTGATGGATTTGAGGTAAATTTTGAATTACCTGGCTCCCAGATTTTTAGCCAGAGTAATTAGGCACATGGAGAAGCCATCTGCTAAGATGAGGAAGCCTGAGAAGGAACATGTTCTGGGAAGAAAAGGAAGGGTTTAAATATGGACATGGTTTGATACACCTATGAGACATCGAAGTGGAGATGCCAAGGTAGTGGGATATAGGAGTTGGGACTTCAGGCTCTTAGTGGGTATAGATGGTTCTTTAAAGCCAGTGGGAGAAGATGAGATTACTCAGGCAAAGAGTACAGAGGGAAGAACAAAGAGCCCAGGGCTTAATTTTGAGGAGATTTGTTACTCACAGGTCAGCAACTGCTGTTGAACCAGCAGGAGATCAATGTGGTGTCACTGCTGCAGGGAAAGCAGAGCTTTCAAAGGCTGGGGAGTGGTCAGCCACGTGGAGTGCTGCTGAGGGCTGAAGTGAGAAACGTGGGGTGACCAGCTCTTGGGGTTTGCTTGGAACAGTTCTAGTTTACATTTTTTGTTCTAGCACAGTTATTATCAAAAATATTCTACTGTTTAATATTTTGGTTAATTATTTGGTCACCCCATAGATGATACTGGAAATGTAGATTTGGCAAGGGGAAGGTTATTGGTGATGTTGGCAGAAGCCTTTCTGGTTGGTTGGTGGGGAAAATGCAAGTCAGGGTGAAAGGGAATGTGAACATGTATTGTTTTCTGTACATTTCTGTACCTTTGAAATCGTCTATTTAAAAATTGTAGATGAGAGGCGATAAAGTAGAGATAGGATATAGGCAGATTTTAAAAAGTTTGTGTCTCAAAGGGAACAAAAGAACCAGAGAGATGGTTGATTTGGTTATAAGATCTTGAAGTATATGAGGAAATACTCAGTTGCTTAGAAAGAGCTTGAGAGAAATTTATTCCATGAGCATTAAAACAAACAACAAAACAAAAAAGGCCAAGTAAACCAGAGAGCAATTGCCTCAAAAAAATACGCTCAGTACAACAGACTGTTTGTGTGGCTGTCATTCAGTGTCTAAAATGCAATGCTAAATTGCAGTTTAATAAAAGCAATTTAACTAGGGGTCAAAGCGGAGTTCTAATCTTTCTTTTTCCTTACATCCATCTTTGAAGGCCCAACATGTTGCAGTTCCTCTAGGAAACTTTCCTAACCGTTTTAGCCCTTGGTGAACTCAAATGTCATTCATTCTTGGGACCATGGCATTTATCACTGTGCTAATAACCATTTTATTTTTGCTCAGAAGTGATTCATTTGGGTTATTTCTCTCTCTCCAACTATATTAGACTCCCCTTGAGTACAGAACACATGAGTACATACCGCTTTTATACTCTTTGCCATTCTAGCACAGCGAATAAATGCTTTCTGACTAATTCATGGCATTGCTCATCTGACTTTGAGGAGGAGTTGGATTAATGCCTAAGACACGGTGGTATCTACCTTAGGTTCTCTATATAGTGTGTCCTTGTGTTCGTGATAATTGTAGGTTTTTCTTGGCTTTGTTTTTATAGAGCACAGCTCCCGAGGAGGAACGCGGGAGTCCTGGAGCTGAAACCCCCAGCACTGTCACCGAGGTGGACATGGATCTGGACAGCTATCAGATAGCCCTGGAAGAGGTGCTGACCTGGCTGCTTTCTGCTGAGGACACTTTCCAGGAGCAGGATGACATTTCTGATGATGTTGAAGAAGTCAAAGACCAGTTTGCAACCCATGAAGTAAGTGTCTGTAGTTGCTGAACAGGATATATCTGCCCTGGGGTTTGTGCCTTAATTAGGGGCTTTTCCCTGATGTTTGTTGTTTACTGAATTTTGCTCTGTGGAAAGGTCATGGCTTATTTTAGGACTTGTGATAGGGCTTTCTGATAAAATTGATGTGAGCGATTAACTGCATCAGAATTAGATTTCAGATTTTAATTTTGTTGTAACTTGTATATATTATAGAGCCACTGTCGAAAAGCAATGCATAGTAATGCTCATTTCTTAAGTGTATTGTTTTAGTGAAAAACAAAATGGCAAACCAATACAACAAATCTTTAGGTTTTGAATTTTCCCCAGAAAAGTGATCATTGTTTTTAATTGCACGATTCAGCAAATGTCCTATCCAGTGTTCCTGTACAATTTTGTTTTTTTTGAGACAAGATCTCCCTTTGTTACCTGGGCTGGAGTGCAGTGGCGTCATCATAGCTCACTGCAGCCTCAAACTCCTGGGCTCAAGCGATCCTCCTGCCTCAGCCTCCTGAGTAGCTGGGACTACAGGTGTGCGCCATCACACCTGGCTAATTTTTTTATTTTTTGTAGACATGGGGTCTCGCTCTTGCTCAGGTTGGTTTCCAACTCCTGGTCTCAGGCAATCTTCCCACTTTGGCCTCCCAAAGTGCTGAGATTACAGGCATGAGTCACTGTACCCGCCCCAGAGCCTACTTTATTTGTTCTCTACTAGGCTACCTTTTTGTGCAGCATTGATATTTAGGATAGGCATTAGCAATTTATTAATTTTTTTTTTTTTGCCACGAGTAGCTCACAAGTCGTAATGATGTACCTTTCTAGGCTTTTATGATGGAGCTAACTGCACACCAGAGCAGTGTGGGAAGCGTCCTACAGGCGGGGAACCAGCTGATAACACAAGGAACTCTGTCAGATGAAGAGGAGTTTGAAATTCAGGAACAAATGACCCTCCTGAATGCTAGATGGGAAGCGCTTAGGGTGGAGAGTATGGACAGACAGTCTCGGTGAGTGGAAAGCCAAGACATTAACACTTTCTTCCACAGGCTGCATTGCACGCTTTAGGCCAAGTAGAAGTCCACAAATCTGTGAGAACAGGATCATTACAGAACTTGCCTCGTAAAAGTTAGACTCTTTCTTATTTTGTACCGTTCCTGGAATTTTACATGATCTTTGTTTTCCCTTTAATGTGTTAGCCAAACCAAAAGATAAAAGTTGGAATACAGAACTTAGCAAAAAAGGAGAAAACAGTTCGTGTGGACGGTTAACTATTTGCAGTATTAAAAGCGGCTAATGATTTACTCGGTAGGAAGGCAGGACTACGTAGTATCTATCTACCACTCCATTTTGTACCATTTTTTTTAGAGCTTTCCCATGGCCCATTTTATTTCAGTATTGTGTATTAAGGAGCAAACTGCATTCCATTGCCATTTCCACCTATTTAATAAGCAGGAATTCCTGATTGAAGAAACAATGATTCTGATACGAATACCGGGTGCTGTTACTTGCATTCTTTGACTGCATTTAATGGACTCCATTTAGGAAGAAAATAAAAGTTTCTCCCCCCCAGTTTCTATGTTTGAAGACTAAATGCTGCTTTCAATGTGTAGACAAGGGTGTGTCCCCTTGCCCCATATCTCTGGTGCCTGGAGTATGTATTTACCTTTGCAAAGGGAAAAAGCTCGTGGGAATAATGCTGTGCTCTCCACGGACAGGCTGCACGATGTGCTGATGGAACTGCAGAAGAAGCAGCTGCAGCAGCTCTCTGCCTGGTTAACGCTCACGGAGGAACGCATTCAGAAGATGGAAACTTGCCCCCTGGACGATGATTTAAATGCCTTGCAAAAGCTGCTAGAAGAACATAAAGTAAATCTGTCTCATATTTTTTTTATACCTTATCAAATATGAAAGAGCAGCACTTAGCATTGTCAGAGGCTGATGACTTGTATCATTAGCACGGAGGTGGGACACTTCTTCAGTGCTCTGTTTGTTCAGAAGCTCATAGGGTAGAGTTCGTGGGGATGTGACTTTTCTGAGCCAGGAATGAAAGCACAGGTAAAATTTTATGTGGGAATGGGCAGATTTCATGTGAAGGTACATCACTTTCATAGGATTTGAGAAGGGTTTTTTGGACCCGTAAGTGGCTAAGAACACTGGTGTGTTGGCGTGAGTGCAGTGTGTGGGTAAAGAAGCAAACCCTGAGAGGTGGCTGTACCTAATCCTTTAAGGAAAGCTGTTCCTTCTTCTCTGATCCAGGAAAGCATAAAGCACTAGGTGAGGAACCAAAATTTGGTGGACCATTTAATTTGGTCACAAGTTTAGGGGAGAACTTTTCATAGTCAAGATCCTGATCTTGACTGTGGAAGGAAAGGTAGGATAAAATATCTTCTCTGCAAAGTGAGGCATTTGACACTGTTGATGGTGTTTAAATAAATTACCTACATACATATGTCTAATGACTACGCTCTTCTCATGCAAAAGGTGAGAATGGAAATGTCCAAATTGCATTCTTGGGTAGCAAATCAGAGTAACTTCTGACTATCATGTAACGTTTTCCCTACCTCTTACTTTATACCGTATTGCGCTAGATAAAATGGTCTCTGACTCTGTATATTTAAGCTCTGGACTTTCTTGCTTTACTAATTCTATATTTTTGTCTTAATTCCTAGTATAGACACTCAACTATTTTATGCAAAAAAATACATTTTTTTGCCAGAACGTGAAATAAAAGTGATGATAGTTCCCATTTTCAAGTTGTTATGACATTGCATTTTCAAACTGCCTTGGTTCATAATGAAATGTAAAGATGTATAATGGGCTTGTTTCATTAGTAGAACACTCCGGGTAATGATAGGAAATTTAAATACGATGCCTCATTGAGTGTCCTTAATTACTATTGACAACCAAGTACATTTTAAATAGGTAGACATGAAAGAGTAGAAATAATGGTTTATCTTAATTTTTTCTCTAGAGTTTGCAAAATGATCTCGAGGCTGAACAGGTGAAAGTAAATTCATTAACTCACATGGTGGTAATTGTGGATGAAAACAGTGGCGAGAGTGCTACGGCTGTTCTAGAAGATCAGTTACAGGTAAGGACCTGTAAAGTAAGATAATCCTAAAGGACCTGTGGTCTGAGACGCGAGCATGTGTTGCCCCATCCTTCACGGCCTGTCTCGTTGTTTATTCAGAAGGGTAGAAAAATCCACTTTTGGTTGTACTTCCCAGTTGAGGGTCCACAGGGTGTAGGTTACAGGAGTACCCATGTATTGACTCCTTTACTTCAGCCCTTGAGGGGCATGTGTGGGTCTGGTCGCAATCTCCAGCTTCCTTTTGCATAAGGTTAACACGATTGGGAAGTGTGGGAACTGATCTCAGCAAGTGGCCTATGGACTTGTTGGTCAGAATCACTTGAGGAATTTGTTAGGCTCTATGCACACCTGAATCTGGGTGGAGGAGGGGATAGTGAACCTACATTGTAAAAAACAAAAGTATGTGTATACTAAAATTTGAGAATTCCAGCTTGTAGGCTTTAGTATCCCTGTGTCTTTGGTAGACTACTGTGTGATTTTCAACAACAGTTTTGGAAACCTCAACAAATTGCTTCTTTTTGCACAAAAGCAATAATGTATCTTTACAAGTTTTTGTAAAGAAATTTATTGATATTTCATTTGAACAATACCTGATAAGATGATTCCAATTTATGATTTCCAGACTATAATTTCATCGTATGAAGTCCTTTTTCTTTTGTAAAGAAAAAGTGCTGAGACTTCAGTGTAGTAATATTTAGTTATTACAATAATCTGAGAGGTAGGTATTCCATGTCTTGACTATTTAGCAGTGAGGAAACTGAAATTCAGGGAGTATAAGCGATGCTCCAGAGATTTAAATAGACAAATATTGGCCATGCTGAGACTAGAGAGACCTTTCTTCTGGCTCTAAGTTCTCTATCCTTTGCACACTTAAAAGCTTACTCTGGTGTTAAATATCAAAATAGTATAATATGAATTAAATAATTCTTGT